GGCGGAAGCGCAACGCCTCCTTGAAACCTTGAACCTTGATCAGTCGGTTACGTACTACGACGGAGAGAGGTTGTCGCTTTAGCTTACGGACGCTTGATATTAAAATATTTACGTGTGTACTAAATCCTGTTAGCTATTTTCTCTTAAGCTTCTCTTCGCTTCTCTTTATATCTATAAACTTGTTTCTTCTTGTAAGTATTGCATTCTCCTTCTGACTATATAATTATTGGTGTGACTTTGTATTTCTGTGCAATAAATGTGTTAGTGTAATAAGTGTTGAACATTATTTATCTATATGCCCGTTACTATACACATAACAACAAACTCGCACCCACTACAGGACCAATATGGGTAGTCCCTGACCAACCGATACAAGGAATGAAGTTTGGAAAGGAAAGGATGGAGTGAATAACATGCTACTTTAAACAAGAACCTATCTGAGAGATATTGCCTGCGTAGAGATAGGGAGGGCTCAACACATTCAACTTGAAGAGCTAGAATGGGAGTGGACTTCATGCTACCATTTATTATACATAGTAGACATTTTGACTGGATTTTGTCCAAGGTATTAAGAGCCATTTTGCTACATGGCTCCACTAAAAAGCACCCATAATCAAAGTGACTTCTAATTAGAGCATTGTATAAAAGCTTTTGTGAGTAGGGGTGAGAACCCCACCAAACACCTGATAGAGATCGAATTACATTGAGATTTTTTCACATTTGGAGGCAATATATGATAAGTGAGGAATTCCTGTCATTTAGTTATCCAGGATAACTCCTAAAATTTTCACTTGATTTTCAATGGGGATTAGAGTATTATCAATGTAGATGGATACTTCTGGTATATACCTTCGCCTAGAGAAAACCATAGTGCTGCATTTTAAAGGAGACATTGATAAACCATGCTCCAATAGCCAATTATTAAGAAAGTTGACAGCTTGGGATAAACGAGAGGTAGCCTCAGCAATAGAGACATCAGTTACGTATAAGGCTAGATCATCTGCATATTGCAGAATATTGCCTAGATAATTTACAGATCTGTCTAGATCATGGGTGTAGAGGCTGTATAACAAGGGGCCCAAGACTGAACCTTGTGGTAGTCCCTTTCGGGTAAATCTAGATGGTAGAAATCTTCCTTCAGAGCGAACTAATATGCATCTATGTGAAAGTAGCTTTGCTATGAAATTTGTTATTCTCTCGGGAATGTTCAGATGATGCATTTTTTGCCTTAGCAGAGGGAGAACAACATTGTCATATGCTGCACAAACATCAATGAAAATGCCTACGAGAAAGTTGTTATTGGAGAATGCTAGTCTTATATCAGATACTAAAATGCTAAGGCTATCCATTGTGCTAAAACCTTTTCTAAAACCAAATTGGGTCTTTGATATAATGCCTCTATTTTCGAGAATCCACTCAAGGCGATTTTTTACAAGATGTTCCATGATTTTAGAATGGGTTGATGAAATAGCAATAGGGCGATAGCTTAATACTGAAGAGGGGTCTTTTGAATAGGTATAATAATATGTGTTTTCCAGTCATCTGGAATACAACCGGTTGTAAAAGCCATGTTAATTATGCTTAAAAAGAACTGCTCACTCATAGTACCCATATATACAAGGAATGAGTAGGAGATACCATCAATGCCAGCGGAGGAATCCTTAAGGTGCCTAAGAACCAACTGCAATTCAGCTAGTGAAAATGGTTCATTAAGATTACTAAAAGAGTTAAATGAGTGAGGGGGGACTGGTTTTGAGGAAGGAGTTATCTCTTCCTCCAATGGAACCCAGGGGGGAGCCAGACGGTTACTGAAATCCTCTATCTAATGGGAGGGGTCTGCACAAGGGGAATTGCTATCATCTAAAGCGCCACGGAAGTGCCAAATATGTTTCCAAACCAGAGAAGAAGGAGATCGAGGGGCTAAGCTCTCACAAAACGAAAGCCATCCTTTTTTTCTCTTCAGAAAGAAGTTTTTTGGTCTGAGCAGTTATTTTCTGATAATTAAGAAAATTTTCCATTGACATATTAAAGGAATATAGCCGTTCCGCTGCCTTTCTTTTTTTAATAATTGAGGAGCAGTCTGCGTCCCACCATGGAGGTGAAGAAATTTTACTTGTGTAGGAATTCTTCAAAGGGAAAATGTTGTATGCTATATTATTCAAAAGGGTTATAAATTGGGAATAGGCACTCTGGAGGTTATCCAGAGATACTGGGGGAAGATTATTGATATTAATTTCTGTTTCTGAGGAGAATAGATCCCAATCAGCTTCAGACAGATTGAATTTAAGAAGGGGAACGCATCAATTACTTAGGTTTAAAAGGATGGGAAAGTGATCACTTCCAAAAGAAGAAGGGAGAGTTTTCCATGATATGCTAGCAGCCAGGATTGGAGAGCACAATGACAAGTCTACTCCAGAACTAGAATTCTGCGAAGGGTAGGCCATTCTGGTGGGAGAACCATCATTTAGGAGACATAGATTAAATTCATTAAAATCATCAAGGCAGATAAGAAAAAGAGTCAGATTTATGGGAACCTCACATAACATGATGACTATTAAAGTCTCCGAGAACAATGTAAGGTGAAGAGATGCTTGATAGAATTAAATTGAGTTCTGATATACAAGATGGTGTATAGCCGGAATGTAAATGGATAGGATTGTGATGTCCATAGCCTTAACAGCTACTGCATTTATATTGCCTTGTACAGGAGGAAGAGGAATGGGTGATAAGGGAATGGTCCTGTTTAGTAAAATCAGAGCGCCACCATAGCCATCGCTCCTATCACTACGATAACAGGAGAAGCCTGGGATTCTAAATGTAGACCCTGGCTTAAGCCAGGTTTAGTATTGAAGGGTTATGAGTGTTAATTAAGTGGATTATATCAGGTTTATTATTTCTGATGCACCGACAATTCCACTGGAGGAGAGTTAGAGATTCGAAATTTATATATTCTGGAGAAGAGGACATCTAGTTTGCTTTTCACGTTGAACGGTAAATGGGAATCATCGAATTTGCCAACAATATCTGTAAGAGAGGCCACAAGATTTTCTAGAAGATTCTCATTAGGAGATATTATATTGCTTGATAAAGCATGTCCATTGGGAAGAGAGGACGAAGGAGTATTTGTAATGTTATAGTGTGAAACTTTATTATATCCTAGTGAAGATTGCACTGGCATACATTTGGCTTTATATATAGTTTTCCTATAGGACTGAGATTGAGACAGAGTAGGAGGGCTTATAGATGCCTGAGGAGATGGAAGATGGCTTACAGGAATTTGTGAAGATGCAACATCAGAATAAGGTCTTCTGACAGCCGGGAAACGGGCGGAAGCCTCAAGGTATGATATATTCTCTTGTGACATTACTATCTTGATAGCTTTTTGTCTTAAGTACTCTGGGCAACTTTTTTCAACAGCTGAATGATTTGCAGAGCAGAAAAGACAGGTTGGGGAATCTGTAGGACAATTATCTCCGGTATGCTCTTTGCTGCATTTAAAGCATCGTGGTTTCGATCGACATTGGGCTTTGACATGTCCAAAACGGCAACATTTTAGACATTGAATAGTAGTAAGAAGGTGAGCTTCAACTGCTATAGAAGCATAAAAGCAATATACATGGGAGAGGAGTACTTGTCCTGAGAAGGTGAGGACAACAGTTTGAGTTGGAACCCACTCCACTTCATCACCCTTTTTGACCTTTCTGTCAAGTCTTCTGGCTTTAATGATTTCTCCTCTGCCAGGAGAGAGCTCAGACTCGCCTACTAATTCCTCCATAGAGATGTCAGTCGGAATACCCCTGATCACACCCATACGGGTAACATTAAAAGTTGGAATGATAGCAGAAAGTTTATAATGAGAGAAACTCCGAGTCAATAAAATTATTGACATCAGAAGCACTTTTAAAAGCAATTGAAACTCTGTTGCGCCCTAAAATTTTGATACCTTGTTTTTCAATATTGGCCACTTTATTTTGAGTAAGGATATAACCAATTTTCACAGGTCTAATTTTATAACCTGCTGATGGATCAGGTTCTGAGCGGCTTAAATGTATAACAAATGGGCCTTTATCGCTATCTACATACTTTTTTATCTTGGAAGTCAGGGTGGACGTATGTATTTTGGTAGGAGGCAAAAGGATGACCTTCGTGCCCTATTTTTTTCTTTGGGAAGTTGGATAATGGTAAGGAATCCGTGAGTTTACGTTTAGCAGGGCCAGAATCACCGGATAAATCCAGTGGTTCCGCATCTCCTCCGTCAACCTCCATCGTCGTCACACAGATCTACATTAATTAAACAAAAAATACTACTCACCTACTAACAAACAGAATACACAGAGACAACACACAGAAAATTGAGAGGTTTTACACAAATTTGAATCGAAAAAAGGTTAAAAACTTATTTCAATACAAAATTACGTGTAACCAGCAATCACTCTGACAGCACAACAATTTACTAATCAAGTTACTTTTATTTTTTTTAATTTGATCTGATTTATGAGTAAAGAAATAAAATGATGGGTGGCGCTCTTAAGTATAACTATAACTATAGTAACTATAGTATGATTTTTTGCAATACCTGTAAAGGTTGCTAAGTGTTGAGCACTATGTATAATTTAAAATCCAATTGTACATTCGTTATTATCATTATTTATTGTTGTATGTAGTGTTAAGTTAGTAAAGTTATGTTTTGTGAACAATCTGACATTTTTAAAGATAAACTTCCTGTGGGTTCTTGCGCTATTTCTTCCCATAGATGTATGTCCTCTCCGAATCAGTAGTAGTTTATATTGACTCTCAATAAGTTGTACGATGTATATTAATTCCGTTGAATAAAATATTTAAACTTTAAATTAAATAATAAATTGGGGGGGGGGGGGGGGGTTAATTTCCGGGCGGCTCCGGACGCAAAAACCCACGCCACGCCGCTGGTCAAGCGAATAGGGTTGTTACTTTTTTTGAATATGTAAATAAAGTATCATAATATACTTTTCTCTTTGAGTATGAAACCAAAGGAGACGTCATCGCAAGGTATCGCAAGGACGAACAGTAATCCCAGGAGTCATCAGTAAATAGATATTACTGCAGTATAGTAAATAGTAACCACAGAAAATCTGACGTGACGGAGGAAAGGGAAAAGATGCAAAGTAATACGGACACACGGGCGCAGCGATAAAGTTTTATTTAGCTTGCCTGCGCAATTTATCTTATTAATAATAAATATATAAGCTATTAAACGTCGGCAAGTAGTCAACATCAAATGAGATCAACTTCGGTACTTAAAGTACTATTATTTATTCTGCGCCATAGTGAAAAACCCTTTATCCAATATTTATTTGCGTAGTAGTCTGTGAGTGCTGAGTGTGATATTTATTTATCTATGGGTTGTCCTTGATTGACATATGTAGCGGTCATTCTCATAAAAAATAAAAACATTGTTTACATTTTAAATTATTAATTTAAATAAAGTTAAAATTCACATCCTATCTCACAGAGTACTTTATAGAAACCGGAATCTATGGGGTGCGTATGTTGGTTTCTTTAAGCAGTATTTTAAAGTTGTAGTAAATTTTATAATTCTAGTTTTACTCGCTACTTCCCTTGTATGGGATTTTTTAAAGTTTTAGAAGATGCAGTTAACCGTAGGATCAAAGATTCCAAAGGAATGCCAAAAAATACGGTCTCAAGCCACCTGCATCCATCGATTTCCTGAACATCTTACCAGGTCGTCACTCTATTTAGTATGCGACTACCCTACATTTCGATGCTGCCAGTTGAAAATCTTTCGTTCCCATCGATAATCAATTATCGAGCTATATAGGCGACCTATTGCCACTTCAGCTTACATACTTACCACACAGCTTGATGTGTGGGGCTATGTCAGTTACTCTGGTTCTACTGCGGTTATCCTAGTTTCTTAGTCTATTATGCAGAGAAACCCGGAGCATAATCCTCTCTATAGATGAATTAGCATGATTTAGCAATATATATATACACGTCACTCCCCTACTGTCCTGTCCTGCCTGGAAATGTCCAACAGCCTGTAAAATTTTACAGCTGAACATGAGCCTCTACCTATGTAACATACCTATGCAGCATAATATACTCATGCTCATTTCAAGGCAGTATTACCTCCTTTTGAACACATAAAATGAATTATGCTCCCTGGTGCTGGTTGAGGTATTTTTGGTTTGTTCAGGTAAGGTTTGTTCATACAGCCATCTGTTGGCACCCATGATATGGGGTCTTTTACACTTTTATAACATTACGTATCTTATAATTTACAATTAGATTTGTCAATAATTAAATTTTTTTTATTGATCTAAATATTTTATTTTAGGTGTACCCAGACATAATGATCCGACAAGGGAGCATTGATGATATTAATGCTCAACAGTTCTTGAAGATCTCCAATTATGAAGACACAGTTCGACAGCTTGATATTTACTATGCAATAGGTATTTTATGCATTTTATGATTACATGTGAACGACAATTAAATTTAATGTATGTTTATAAAGTACCCATACAAAAAGTATGTTCATCTGTATATATATAATATTATAATTCTTCTGTCCATTTGTGTATGTGACAACTCCTTCTGCGGCTGGACCGATTTTGATGATATTTTTTGCGTATGTTTAAGTGTCTTCCTGAATGGTTTAAATTCACAATTGAACCCATAGGTGGCGCTGTTGTTGAGATTCAGAAATCACTTATATGAAGCGGGCATATCGCTAATTAAATTTATATTAGTTCGAAATAATAAGAGTTTGGTATAGATATAGATTCAAGTCATAACATTTGAATATTTTAAGAATTTAAACAACAAATTATGTTACACAATAAATAACTAAATATGAGTAGTAATCTGACGACATTGTTTTCTTTTTTATACACTATGTTATGGGAATTGATGTCTTTATAAATAATAAATAAGGTGACCCGAGGTCACTGTAGCTAAAATAAAAAGATTTAAATTTTTTTAGCTTAATATTAGTAATTAATATATTATAATCTCAATTATTTGATAGTTGATACCATATTAAAACAGTTAATTGAAACTTATTTCCAGGTAAATGAATTAGGATAAAGCTTACATTGTCTTGTTAAAATTGTATTTTACTCCAATATACCAAATATTATATAAAAAGTTACATAAGTCCCATATTGGGGGGTACTGCAAATATTACTCTTAATTCTTAATGATTTCTTAAATTTACGCAAACACTACACATTGAATAAAATTTATTTCTATTTTCCAAACTTGAACACTGATTCTTGCCTAGGATGATATGCGAGGCTATTGAAATTAAAAGACATCCAAATTTCAATAGAGAAGATGGATGGGTGCTGCCATTTAATAGCAATTCATGTTAGTATCATGCAGTCTTGCAGTGGTATGCTTAAGCTCGTTTTGCGTAAATCGGACCAAAACTTAATATTCAAAAACTGAAGGTAGCCGGACCAACTATGATATTGGGACGTCAAACATCTCAGTCCCCCCCCGTGACCATGCGTGCTGTAAAGCACCCAAAACGTTGGGATGATAAAAATAAATTAAAGTAATTAAACAAGATAAAATCCGTAAATAATAGTTTTATTCAAATTATAATCATATAACTGACAGAATATATTTTTAAAGTAATCATAATAAGAATTTTAACTCTTATTATTACTTCATGATACGAACATATCAATCAATCAAAAATAGTAATAAAATCTACAAACAAAGAAAATCAATATTATGTAGAATGTGAATTAATACTCTAATCTATCTAGCTTATATCAACATGAAATTACAACAACATTGAAATAATTTAATTACAGTTAAAAGGCAACTGTTGAAGTTTCAAAGTCCAATAACTGGGTTGTTCCCAGTTTTATCTTCAGATCTGCATATCGGCAGTGTGCGTGATAGTATATATTGTGCAGCGGCTGTGTGGGGTTTATATCAGGCATACAGGTAAAATAAGAAGTTTTAAATTTACAATTCATCAGTTCAATTCCCTATAATTTTTTAATTCATTAGAGCCTTTTTTTTAAAGCAGCCATGTCCTTTGATATCACTTGTTGCTATCCTGATCTGTGGCTATTTGATCTCATCTGGCCCGAGCATTTGGCTGGTGAACATCCATCCATAGTTCTGTTGTCTGTATACTTATAGTTATGGGACATAAGCAGATAATTAATATCTAGCTGGAAGAGAGTTGCGGAGATAATGGGCACCAGAAGACTCCGGCCTTTGACGACGACTCGCGGAGACTAATCATTCAAAAAGTCGTTTATCCACTTGATCAGACTAGCTTTATGCTGGAAGCTTGTCTAAAAAGCTAGCGTGCCAAATTTTGTTAAAAGTCGAGTTATAAACGGAAACAATATGTGTTTGTCTATCCCACTTGAATTCTATATTAATTATTAACATTCAAAAATACTTTGCTTATTATAAGATTATGGTGTCACAAAATTGCCAATATAGGTTATATTGGCGATTTTCTAATATTTTCATGTATTGTTATTTAAATCTAAATTTTCTTTTAACTACAACAATTAACATCATAATTTTTGTGCCTGTATTACCACTATTTTGGCTTCCTCATTTGGTTTATTCAACTTACTATGTTTTAGTCAGACACATTTTTTTAAAACATTAAGATTAGATGTATGTACTTATAAAGTAAAACTATTAAGGTATTAAAATGAGATTGTATTTTTCAGGCGCATTGACGATGATCGAGGAAAGTCGCATGAGTTAGGTCAAAGCACAGTCAAGTGCATGCGCGGTATTTTAGAATGCTGGATAAAACAATCTCCTAGAGTTGAAGCATTTAAAACTCGCCAAAGTGCTGCACATGCTCTCCACGTGAAATTCCACCTCATTACTGGGGAGCCAGTTCTTTCTGATGAAGAGTATCATCATTTGCAAATAGATGTTGTCTCACTTTATTTATTGTTTCTTGTGCAGATGATAACAGCTGGATTGCAAATCATATATACACAGGTATACCTTATATATACACTAAACCATTCTAAATTAACATTTGTATTACCAATAAACATCAAATTTCTTTCTTTTAAAGACCTTAGGAGGAAATTAACCCTAATTAAATGAAGTTGTTCCTAACAAAGTAATTTACAACAACAAAAACAGTGTAAACTTTTTTAACACTATGAAGGTATCTCATTGCATCAACAAAAAGTTCACAAACTGAGGTATTCGGAGATATCTAAGAATGAAAGTGCTAGTGTATCTAGAGATCATACTTGCTTAGGATGTTTTTTTTATAGAAGAGGGGGCCATCGAGCATACGGTTCACCTGATGTTAAGTGACTACTGCAGCCCATGACCAACCGCAACACCAGAGGAATTGCAGGTGCGTTGACGGCTCTTTAGAAAGGAGTAAGCTTAAGCTTTTCTTGAAGGTCCCCTGGTCGTATCGGTCCGGAAAAATGCCGCCGGTGGTAAATTATTCCACAGAGAGGTCGTACGCAGAAGAAAACACATAGTGAAACGTATGGTGGTGGACCGCCAAGCATCCAGAATGTGTGGATGGTATCAAGAGATATTTGGTGGCTGGGATTAATCCCAACAATTCCTCTGAACAATCCCCGTGATAGATGCTATAAAATACGGAAAGCACTCGGTCGTCGACGATTCGAACCGCTCTGCGTTGGATACGGTCAAGTGGAAAGAGCTGGTACTGAGGAGCCCCAGCCCAGAGATGGGAACAGTATTCCATGTGCGGACGAACATGCGCCTTGTAAAGTAGCAGGCGGTTTGCCGGCATGCAGCTTTTTAATAGTCCATTGCTGGAAATAAGCCTTTTCGAAATTGCTTCAGCAGACATGAATTTGTGAAAGAATTGATCACACTCGTGATATTAGGCAGCGGGTTTATAACTCAACCCCATCACCAGTGTGTAGAGTTTGGGCGTTTTTAGATGGATTTCCTTAATTCGGTCCTTAGTGCTTCGCTCTTTAGTCAGCAAGATACATCTCAACTAGATTGTTTACTGTGCTATTTACTAGAAGTTTTCTTCCTCACACGACTTATTTGTGTAATCCCGGACCACCTGCGGCTTATTCCAAACCGTTATGTCTAGGAGTCTTAAACAAAAGAGCCTAATGCTTTTTATTTAAGGTCTGCAACGCACCTGTAATTGCCCTAATGTTGCAGTTGTTCATGGGTTGTGCGTTGGCTCCTCTTCTACGAAAAGATCCTATTACGCCTCTCCTAGAAGTCGGAGTTCTATTTCTCATTAATCAAGATTGATAGACTCACATATACCACTCACGAACTGATACATTTTTAGATGATTGATGAGATTGTATAGACCTTCAAACAAGTGAAAAGTTCGAATTGTTTAAAACTATATTGTACTATTATGTTAGTTATCTTCACAGCCTGTAATTTGGATGCTTGGCAGTCCACCACTGTGCGATTTGCTAGAAGTTTTCTTCCTCGCATGACTTCTTTGTGAAATCGTTTCCACAGTTATCCTGTTATTATATTTGTTAATGGGCGGCGGTTGACACTTACCATCAGGTCTGCAGCATGCTCGTTTTACCTATCTTCTAAAAAATCCGTTGGTGCATGAGGGCTTGTCTCATCACTTCGGATTGGTAACTACAGTATCAAATGTCTCATATCTCTAACACTACTCCCTGTTCCCGGTTTGCTTCGGCTGTATAAACTATCCTTTTGTCAGAGTCAACTATACTTTCTTGCAACTCTCATTAGGTGGAGCGATAAACTCTCCTTCGTCGCATATAGTATGAAATTTATATATGTACTTACTTGGTCGGGTCATAAGTTCTGTCAAAATCTTTATTATTTAAAATTTTTGAATACTGGCTAGATGAACTTCACCAATTTTAAAAATATAACGTTTGCGCTTGCCGAATATAAAAAAGACATTATTTTTCATTCATTTTCGAATATGCAGTGGTCGAAGAAAGAAGATAGAGTAGCGGTTATCGCGTTACACCGCTGAGGTTACGCGCCAAAAGAGATTTTCAATATTCTACAAAAATTGAAAATAACCCTACGATTTGTTTATCGCACTATCAAATGATTCACTGAAAATTTAAGCTTCGAAGATAGTAAGAGGTCCGACCGACCTCGTACAGTTAGGACCCGCGATCATCAAAGCAGTAAAGGCGCGAATCCAACGAAATCCTGTTTGTATGCAAAAAATCTTAGCTCTTTAGATGGGCCTAAGCAGAACCAGGGTCAAAAGAGTGATCAATGAAGTCCTAGTACTACGAGCTTATCGTAAGAAGACCGGACATTTTCTCAACGAGCGAAAATACCGCAAAATTTTGTTTTCGGATGAAAAAAAATTAACAACGAAGAAGGTTATAATAAACAAAATGATAAGGTGTATGCCCACAGCAGTGAAGAAGCCAGCACGCATATTCCGAGGGTTTAACAAGCACATTATTCTCTTTCCACTATTTTCACTTATGTTTTAGCTTGGAGTCTCGTATTCAGGCTAAACTGAGGTGTTTTTCTGTGAAAAAGATGTAAAAACCAGTGCCGAGGCATCTGACCGGAAAGCTGAAGGGTAAGTTAAAACATATCATGAGATATCGTTGCATCTTGCCTCCTTAGACATTAAATTTAATATAAAAAATAAATAACGGATCAACACATGCGAGACGCTCACCGCGGCAGGTGTACCAAAATACCATCCTAACAAACATAGTGGAACCTCTTTCTCCAACAATGTTCAAAAACAGACATTGGATATTCCAACAGGACTCTGCACCAGCTCATAGGGCACGAAGCACGCAAAACTGGTTGACCGCCCATGGAATTGACTTTAACGGACATGAAGACTGGCCCTCTTCTAGTCCAGATTTAAACCCACTGAATTATTGCCTAAAGTCTAGCCTAAGTCTGCCCTAAACCTCATCAGAATTTGGAATCTCTCCGAGCATCTTTGGCTAAAGCAACGGCAGAAATAGATATGAGTGTTGTGCGTGCTGCGATTGATGATTGGCCGCGTCGATTAAGAGTATGTATTTAAGATAGGGGAGGGTATTTTGAGTAATGTAAATAAAATTGTATTCTAAATAAAATTACCTTTATTTTGTAAAAAGTTTTGACAGAACTTATAACCTGACTAAGTATTATTTACTAAAATGCATTATTTTAAAATTGCTACAAATATAAATGTTGGTTTCTGTATGTAAGTAACTTAAATATTTAATTTATTTTTATAGGATGAAGTAGCATTTGTTCAGAACTTAGTTTACTATGTTGAAAGAGCTTATAGAACTCCCGATTATGGCATGTGGGAAAGAGGATCTAAATATAATGATGGTAAACCGGAAATTCACGCTTCCTCCATAGGTAACTAATATACTGATAATCTTTATTTTATATATACCTATTTTTTGTCTATGTGTATGTGATTGAACTATTAAACGGTTGAACCCATTTTCGACAAAAAATCGACCAACATATGCCTAGACAACATGGAATAGATTATTGTCACCTTAAAAAGTAGGGCAACGGAACCGAATGAGCCAGCAGCTGGCCGACTTTATGGAGAAAGAGGGACTCTTTATGATGAACTCTTTCTTCCAGAAGCGGCCCCACAGGAAGTGGACCTGTCGAGCCCCGACGGTTCGACAAAAAATGAGATTAACTTCATTATGACGACCAGACGCCAACTGTTCAGTGATGTCTCAGTGATCGCAAGGGTGAAAACTGGCGGCGATCACCGAATGGTCAGAGGCACACTGAACCTAAACGTTAAGTTGGAGAGGTCTCGTCTAATGAAGTCAACGCTCCATCCCCCTCGTGCTCTGATCCAGAATCCCGAAAACTTTCAGCTCGAGTTACGTAACCGCTTTCAGTGCCTAGAAGATTGCAATGCAGTGGAACGATATGAACGACAAGCTCGTGGAAACTGTCCATGCGGTCGGAGCTAAGTTCTGCAAGACCCGCCGCAGAAGAACACAAAAACTCTCCGATCGCACTCTTAATCTCATGGCTGTTAGACGGGAGATGAGGCTACAATCGTCAACAGATTTGACAGCATACAGGCAACTGAACAGATAGATCTCCAATTGCATGCGGCGAGACTTACGCAACTTTAATACTTCTCATATTAAAGAAGCGATCGAGCGAAATTAGGGCTCCAAAGTCTTTGCCAGAGATCTGTCTTCCAGAAAAAGCCAACTGTTAAAGCTGAAGACTGAGTGTAGCAGCATCGTTTCCGAGACACCAGAGATTTTGTGTGAGATTGAGAGGTTCTATAAGCAGCTGTACACATCGTCGTTGGAGCCACACGCAAGTGTGAGTAACGATCCAAGAGCAAGTCTTACCCGACACTATTCCGATGATATCCCGGACGTCAGTCTGAGCGAGATTAGAATGGCTCTCCAGCACCTTAAAAACGGCAGGGCCCCAGGCGAGGATGGAATTACAGCGGAGTTTCTGAAAGCGGGTGGAACACCGGTACTTGAAGTCTTTCAGAAACTCTTAAATTCCGTCCTCCATGCTGGCACTACTCCGGAGGCGTGGAGCAGAAGTGCGGTGGTCTTGTTCTTTAAGAAAGGCGACAACACTCTCTTGAAGAACTACAGACCGATTTCCCTTCTGAGCCGCGTCTACGTGCTGTTTTCCGGAGTCATTACGAATCGTCTTGCACGCAGACTCGACGACTTTCAGCCTCCCGAACAATTGCCCGGTTTCCGAATAGGCTTCAGTACCATAGACCACATACATACCCTGCGGCAGATTGTACAGAAGACCGAAGAGTACAATCTGCCACTTTGCCTGGCGTATGTGGACTATGAGAAAGCCTTTGATTCCGTCGAAATTTGGGCGGTGCTGCAGTCCCTTCAGCGGTGCCAAGTTGACTGTCGGTATATCGAAGTGCTGAAGACGGAACAAAGTTAATTTAATGTTTGACATTGGAATGTCGCGTTGGTGGTGTATTTAATAGAGGTGTTTGTACAGTAGGGCTACGATGGCTATCCGAGTACAGAATCAGAGCTCGAAACCTATCCAACTGCAGAGAGGTGTAAGGCAGGATGACGTGATATCCCCGAAACTCTTCACCGCTGCATTGGAAGATGTTTTCAAGCTACTGGACTGGAAAGGATACGGTATTAAGATCAATGGCGAGTATATCACTCACCTTCGATTTGCCGACGATATAGTCCTTATGGCAGAATCGCTGGAGGACCTTAGCACTATGCTCAATGACCTCAATGGTGGCTCCCAACGGATAGGTCTTAAGATGAACATGGACAAAACAAAGATCATGTTTAATGTCCATTTCTCACCTATGCCGGTAGTTGTTGGGAGCACTATGCTCGAAGTTGTTGACGATACGTTTCTGGGATTCGATAGGTAAGTCCAACTTCGACCGAGAGGTCAATCGACGGATTCAACTCGGCTGGGCAGCGTTCGGGAAATTACGACACATCTTCTCGTCAGGCATACCTCAATCTCTGAAAACTAAAGTGTACAACCAGTGCGTGTTGCCAGTGATCACTTACGGATCAGAGACGTGGTCCTTCACTGCTGGCCGTATGAGGACGCTCAAGGTCGCTCAGCGAGCTATTGAGAGGGCTATGCTCGGAGTTTCTCTGCGTGATAGACTCAGAAATGAGGATATCCGCAGTAAAACCAGAGTGACCGACATAGCCCAACGGATTAGTAAGCTGAAGTGGCAATGGGCCGGCCATATAGCTCGAAGAACCGATAACCGATGGGGAAGAAAGGTTCTCGAGTGGCAGCCTCGTACCGGTGGGCGTAGTGTAGGGCGACCCCCCACTAGATGGAGTGACGACCTGGTAAGACATGCAGGAAGTCGATGGATGCAGGTGGCTCAGGACCGTGCTTTGTGGCATTACTTGGGGGAGGCCTATGTTCAGCAGTGGACTTGTGAAGGGCTGTAATGATGATGATGATGAAAATGTAAGGCATCTTAATCCGGAGCCCCATATGCTGCGGGCTTTTAATCCCCCATTTATGTCAAATATAGCCTTGAGATGGCGGCGAAAGAGGAAACATCAACTAACGTCACCCCGTGGTAGTCAAACAGGTGACTACAGGAAATGCATTAATGGCTTCCAATCGATGGCGGTGTACTTAACCATTCTCCATCCTTAACGCCTGCTAAGCGTACTGATTAGAGAACCTAGAGAGATTTATTATATACTAAATGTTACTCCCACACTGTTTTTCTTCCGTATAAATAATACAGGCGGTTTATACACATACATTTGATATGGACACACATAAAGACATAGATATCCAGACCCGGAACAATTGTTTGTAGGCAATACAAACATTTATTCCGTGCGTGATTCGAACCCGCGTCCCGCAGCGCTGAGACTGAACGGTTAGCCTTTGCGCTAAGAAGTTGTCATGTCCAGCGAGACGACGAAGAAAAAGGAAGATGTGGAATCGTGTGCAAATTCCATGACTAACGCATGCGACTCTAGTTGCATGTTAAGAGCGCTTACAATCAGGTGAACTATATTGTAATATAAAATCTTTCCACCTTAAAAGTGTCGGCACAATTGCTTGCACTGTTGTTTTCCGGTCTGAAGGGTATAGAGAGCCAGTCAGTCTATGAAGCATTCCATCTTAGTCCTCAGAAGCGACAACACATCTTATTTATTCGAAGTTGATGCTTATGATGATGAGCAGGTGCTTATGACTTGTAGTAGCCACTATCCATCAGATGGATAGTAAGTTTGTTGGAAATTCAGTTTTATATAAAAAACAGAAACATATAAGGCGCAAAAGATCAGACTATTTTGGACATACTAATTTTGTATTCATTTTTTTTTAATTAAAATATCATTTAGGTATGGCAAAAGCTGCCTTAGAAGCTATAAATGGATGCAACTTGTTTGGAGACAAGGGTGCGTCGTGGAGCGTTGTCTATGTGGATATCGATGCTCATAATCGCAATAGAAGCATTTTTGAAACAATGCTACCTCGCGAATCAAGTTCGAAGGTTAGAAATTTGTATAACTGCTTATAATATTATAACCACTATATAATAACTCTAAACAAATAAAAATTTAAACTTACAGCAACTGTATGTCTTACGGCTGGACTCAGGCCTACTCTCATTTCTGAGCGGTTAAGCAAACAAATTTACTTTTAGTTGCTACTGTTTTTTTTATTTGAAAGTGATTTCATGTGTATACATACTTATATTTTAAAACTATTCTTGTACATGCAGCATGTACTTAGTAAACCTGAATAAATAACTAATCAATATATCATAATGTTATGAACATAATAATCCATTAATGTCAAGCAATCATGGTTTACAGGGAGTTGATGCTGCATTACTGTATACGATATCATTTCCTGCGTTTGCTACACACGAAGAAATTTTGGTACAGCTAACAAAAAACAACATTCTCACTCGTCTGCAAGGCAAATACGGCTTCAAAAGATTCAGCCGTGATGGCTACAAATGTGCGCTCGAAGATCCCAACAGAAGGTATTACCATGAAGGAGAGTTGAAAGAATTCGAAGGCATCGAATCAGAGTGGCCGCTGTTTTATGTTATGATGATCATTGACGGTGTATTTCGCACGTTACCCGATCAAGTGGAGGAATATCAGAAACTATTGAAGTCTCGTATCTACATGGATGAATATGGAGGTTGTTATAATATGTTATAGTTCATTTGAATAATTTTTTGTTTTACAAAATTGTGACTTTTGGTATTTTATAGATCCTGTAATACCCTGGTATTATTACGTCCCTCGGGAAGGCGTGGAAAATGAACGCAATGAGCCTTATTCTGTTCGAAGGATACCTGCCAGTAAGTTATAATAAAATTGTTAATTTTATTTTTATTTAAAAAAAAAAGAAAAGAATATCATGCAAATTTTCGTGTATGACTGTTCGGGTTGAACTAAGTAGTAGATTTTAAACTAACTTCTACCACAGAATAAATAATAGTACTACGTACAGAAGTTACACTTTTTTGATGTTGACTACTTGCCGACTTTTAATAGCCTACATCATTATAATTAATTGGATAAATAGCGCACGCAAGCTAAATAAAACTTTATCGCTCCTTTCGAGTGTCCATATTACTTTGCATCTTTTCCCCTTCTTAAGTCACGGCGGACTTTCCGTGGTTACTTAAGGGATGTCAATAAAAAGTAAAAAAATATATTGCAAATATTCTATGATCAACTGACCATATTTTCGTACCTATGTGAGTTCTGCGATGCCTAACGCATGCAACTTGCAAGGCCATTCGTCGGGAATCGCAATGCTTGGCTCGGAAGAAAAAGGTAGATAGTGTAAACAACAAATAAACTTGAAATACGATTCCTAACAGAAATGTAATCGTATTCTACTTAGTTAAAAATTTTGTTAGTAAACAAAGTTTTAATTTCAGTGTTTTGTGTTATTATAACTTAAAATATTTTAAATACAAAAGACAAGTAGGTATAGGTATGTAAGTAGATACTTGGATAGTGAAGTAAATTTCAACTAAATTTTGTAATAAAGTTCGTAGGTATTAGATAAATTATCTTAATTCTTTTTTGCTATAACTACCTATATAACAATAAAAATTAAATAAATTCACGTTTCATAACTTTCTACTAAAATCCTTCGGTAACTTAAAGAATGATATATCTGAAATATTTTGTTAGTCATTTAGCGTCTATGACGACGTTTTGCCATTAAAAATATCAAATAGTAATATATTTTAAATTACATTAAAACTTTTTAACTATTTTATCCTACAGTTAAATATACGAAACACTAAACAAAAACTATTTCAACAAGTATTTACAAAAAATTATTTCCAAAAACTTAAAAAAACTAACATCAATCTCCTGGGTGACACGCGATTGTAGGTAATTATTTCACGCAGGTAGCAAGAGTGACAGAGGCCTGCTTCTACTAATAACTTCCCAATGAGCTAATTACTTGAAGTTTCTCAAGAACAAAATTTCATTTAAATCATTAGAATCAACTCAAGAGTTTCTGCTAAGTTACCCAGGCCTACAAAGATCCTGCGCGATCATCATTTTCTCACCATCGATTGGCGCTAAAAGCGCCACAATTACGCTCAAGGCCTATCTTCGTCCTAATTAGCTGTTACTTGCTGTTTGCTAAATTTTGCCAATTATATAATAATAAAAATAAATATATTTCATTTCATTTCATACGACGACTTTCCTACTTCTTTCGACATATATTATATAACTAAATAAATAACTGCTCGTTCAAATTATTAAGATTGAAATATAATTACAGACCAACCTGGCGATAGTGAGAATAAAGGTAAAATATCTTCCCATCAAGAATGAATTTAGCTGTCTTTACTACTTATTCATCTCAGTGTGTTGGCTAATTTTCCAATTTCGCTTTTTTACTAATAAGAATAGTTGCTTCATGTATAGTTATTACTCGTTATTAGTTCCTCTAGTATTAAATGCCTTACCTTGCGCGATATAAAGTTGTAAAAGCGTTACGAATAATTATAATTGTTTCCAAATTGTTGTGATTGCAATGTTGCTGACAGTATGTTGACAAGTTACCGTTCAGCGAAAGTTAGATCATAGGATATAACATGAACTTGTCAACCATTGTTGACGTGTAAGCTATAATATTATATTTCATTGTGTACATACTCGACATTATTTCTATAAATATGGCAGAAGTGTAAAGAAATACTAATGCTGTTATTTCAAACTAAAATGATTTCAGTCATTATCTTAAATAATCAAGAGTTCCCTTCTACAATATATTTGTTAAAAACCTTTTTAACAATAATAAATGAAAAAAAATGCCATTTAATAATTTCATTATATAATATGTATGTATGTAAGAAGCTTACTGTCTAACAAGACAACGTTTGCATGGTTCTTGTGCTAAACATAACTGTAATATTTCCAAAAACGACTGTGCAGTGAGGTTGCGATTCGCTAACATCCGTGTCTTTAATTTGTTCAATGCGCTTCTAAGAGCTTTACTTTGTTATCATTGTCACCTTTTGTTGCATTAAAATATATTAATTCAGATACAGGTGGCTTATTCCTGTGGGCGCAGTCAATGTTTGTCCTGGCGCAGTTGTTAACGGGCGGGTTGCTACATGTAAACGAGTTGGACCCCATTCGGCGATATCTGCCGTCATATAACCGACCCCGACGAGCCGGACGTTACTCCGCTTTTCAGGTGCTGTTTTGTTATATTCATATTTTAGTACCATCTGTTGTTTTTGGAAATTTTTGAGGAAGCAATTTACTAAACATTATACTCAACCTCCTACACATTACACACACTATCACTCTTCACACAAGGAGGCTTACCTACACTCTTATAACTATAAGTTAATGAGTTTTGATCTTTTTATATACAGTAAAATGTAAAATCTTAAAGGGAAGAGCGCTGCTGCGCGAGCGATGTTCACGGAATTGTATTTGGTCTATACAACATGTAACAAAAACCCTGTGGTTCCCGTTAACTACGTTATCAGGATAGTATCCAAGCATATATTTTTAGAAATATATTTTTAATATCTGATGTGCAAGCGGGTTTTAGAAAGGGAATGGGGTGTACAGATCAAGTCTTTTCCATGCGCATGATTGCGGAGAAGTTTTTGGCCAAAACCAGAAAGTTTTCTGTGCGTTCATGGACTTGGAAAAGGCTTTAGTGGACCGAGCGTTACGAATGTTTCATGTTATGGCAAACATTGCGGTCTGGTCATCGGGAACTCATATGGGTTGAGCGCTGGTTTGATACAGGCATTAAGGTCTCTTTATAGGGACTCTAGTGCTTGTGTCAGGATCAATGGGGTCTACTCGGATTGGTTTGGCATCCAAAAAGGTGTCAGACAGGGCTGTGTAGCTTCCCCTTGGCTGTTCAACCTATTTATGGACAGGTGTTTGCAAACTTTGAAAGATGAAGAATGTGGGTTAAGAATGGGCGAGTTAACCGTCAAATGCCTTTTGTATGCCGATGATCAAGTCATATTTGCGTCATCGGCGGCTGAGTTGCAAATGATGGTTACATTAATGAACTGGGAATTAAAAGAAAGGGGAATGAAAGTGAACGCAAGTAGGACGAAAGTGATGGTTTTTGAAAGAGAAGAAAGCAAAACGGTATGTGAAATAAGAATAGAAGGAGAGTTAATTGAGCAAGTGGATGAGTTTGTGTATTTGGGATGTGTATTTAGCAGGGATGGTAGATATGATAAGGATATAGAACGACGAGTAAATACAGGGAATAGAGTGAATGGGGCACTACACTCTATTATGAAGAACCAGAATGTGTCAAAAAGGCACGTATGGTAATTCATAACGCTGTGTTAGTCCCTACTTTAATGTATGGTAGTGAAAGCTGGGTGTGGCAGAAGAAGCATGAAAGTAGAATAAATGCTGTAGAAATGCGGTCTTTGAGAAATATGCTAGGGTTGAATCTGAATGACAGGTGAGAAATTGCGTGATAAGAGATAAATGTGGTATGAAAGATGATGTTGTGACCAGGATTAAGAAAGGAATGCTTCGGTGGTTTGGTCAAAGTAGAAAGAATGAATGAGGAAAGAGTGACAAAACAAATTTATGTGGCAGATGTGAACGGCAGAGTCGGGAAGGGACGCCCTAGAAAAAAGTTTATCGTCCAAATTGGCGATATTTTGAAAATGGGCCACGTTAGAAGTACCCTTAACCGACGAGCATGTATGCGTAGATATATGGATGTGTAGGAGGCGAAAGAGGTATGTCCGGATCATGCCAAATCCCCCCCGAACGGGTTCCCGCCTTGTTGTGGCGGGGGGGCTTAGAAGCCGTGGCTTGGTCACCCACGGCGAAACAAAGAGGAACCCATATGGCTGGTCCGAGGTGGAGGGCCGGCCCGAGGTGGCCACTCCGAGTGGGCTTGGGAAGCCCACTTCGGATGTGTGTTGGTGGACTGCGGTGAGAGGTGTGTCCTCCCCACCTGCCGCTGCAGCCGAGGTGGAGTCGCGGAGGAAGAGGAGTGTTAGTATGGCGATGCGCCACTCGCCCTATCCTCCGCGACTCAAACGGGGCCGCACCGTTGATGCGGTGGTGATGGGGCTGCGGGGGGAGAGGATTGTCGGTATTGCGAGGCGCCGCTCTCCCTATCCTCCGCAGCCGAATCTTGGTTGGCGGCGGAGCCATAGACCAGATCCGCCGCTGGGGTCGGGAAGGCTAGTATTTCTAAGTGCTCGTTTTTCCTGGCCCCATGGCCTTCGCGCATCGGACGCGGGGGCGTCTGTTGCGCAGATGTAATTGGAGGCCGTGGAGGAAGGCGTGCCATGTGTTCTGGTGCGCCTAACTTGGGAAGGAGAACGGGGAGGAATATTCCCCTCCCGATGAGGTGCTGCCATGGGGCGGCAGTCGCTGGTGGGGCCGCGGATGTGTGCGAAAGCGTTCCCGTAGCCCTGCCAATATGCGACGAAGGTGGAACACCATGGGGTTTTAGTCGGTGCGAGTCCGACATAACCCGTCCTTGCCCCCGCGAGGCGGGTATGCGTAGGCATTTCCCCATGTAAAAAAAAAAGGATCGTGCCAAATGGAAGTCCGTAGTCTCTGCCTACCCCTCTGGGTGACAGGCGTGAGTGTTTATGTATTATCTATATGTATTTTTAAAATATAATTTTTGAAATATATATTTAATAGAAATATTTTTTTTTTCATAAAAACATTTAAAAATTAATTTTAATGAAAAAAATAATAATTTGCAAATTGTATGTGGTTTTATTATCTCTGCATTGGTATAAGAGGATTGTCAAAGATCCCGCATTACTGATACTCGTGTGAGTTAGAGGAAATTAAACCACATACAATTTGCAAATTAATTTTTTTTTCATTACTAAGAAATTTTTTAATGGGTTTTTTGAAAAAAAAATTATTTCTATACGCTTGGATACTGATTCTGATAACACACTTAACGGGAACCACAGGGTTTTTGTTACATGTTGTATATAACCGAATTGTGTTTGTATCCTAGAAGTTAAGATATTCTTTGTTTGTTTGAAATAATAAATTATTATATTATTATTAAAATTTAGTGATGCTACGCTTCACTATTGATCGTATGGCATTATTTCGTAATATAATTAAAATTAAATCTGGCAATTTGAATGATCATTTTTCTGTTTGACATTAGTTAGAGTGTCCTATAATTTTAGTAACAAGATTGATTTTTATGCCACCTACCTATAGGATGAAATGCTCTTACGACGCTGTGACTGTAACTTCTGTCAAACTTCTACTAAACAAAAGCGTTCATTCATAATGATGCCTTTGTCTTTTTGTTTACTATTTAATATCAAAATGGAAAAGCGTTCATGACCTTACATGCCAATATTTTATTTCCATGCAATAACTCCAGGCCAAGCCAGCATTTGTAAGTATCAATATCATTCTTATAATTTTGGTGGCGTGTACTGTAGTTTGATCTAAGCTGCCGAGTTTAATAAAAAGCAGACTATAGTTTATAAAAATAAATTTTTCGCTGACCTCAACAGAAGGTTCTCAATTTGACTATATTGAATTTATTATGTAACGCGATATTTTTGTCATTTGTGAACCGAATTAAATGATTATTTTTTCATTAAACAGGTATATAGCCCTTTTTTATGCAATAAAATGCTGGCCTCTTGATAATTTTTAGTTCTCATTTATCTTAGTACGCTATACGTTAGTAAAGCTGATATCCTCCCTGACGGCGACCCAGCCGAATATAATTTTACAATTATTTTATAGTTTACGATTATTTAATATTAAATTAAATACAAAATATTTATATATATATATATATATATATATATATATATATATATATATATATATATATATATATATATATATTTCATCATTACAGCCCTTCACAAGTCCACTGCTGAACATAGGCCTCCCCCAAGTAACGCCACAAAGCACGGTCCTGAGCCACCTGCATCCATCGACTTCCTGCATGTCTTAACAGGTCGTCACTCCATCTAGTGGGGGGGTCGCCCTACACTACGCCTACCGGTACGAGGCTGCCACTCGAGAACCTTTCTTCCCCATCGGTTATCGGTTCTTCGAGCTATATGGCCGGCCCAATGCCACTTCAGCTTACTAATCCGTTGGGCTATGTCGGCCACTCTGGTTTCACTGCGGATATCCTCATTTCTGAGTCTATCACGCAGAGAAACTCCGAGCATAGCCCTCTCCATAGCTCGCTGAGCGACCTTGAGCGTCCTCATACGGCCAGCAGTGAAGGACCACGTCTCTGATCCGTAAGTCATCACTGGCAACACGCACTGGTTGTACACTTTAGTTTTCAGAGATTGAGGTATACCTTACGAGAAGATGTGTCGTAATTTCCCGAACGCTGCCCAGCCGAGTTGAATCCGTCGATTGACCTCTCGGTCGAAGTTGGACTTACCTAGTCGGACTATTTGTCCCAGGTAAACGTACTCGTCAACAACTTCGAGCATAGTGCTCCCCACAACTACCGGCATAGGTGTGACATGGATATTGAGCATGATCTTTGTTTTGTCCATGTTCATCTTAAGACCTATCCGTTGGGAGGCACTATTGAGGTCATTGAGCATAGTGCTTAAGTCCTCCAGCGATTCTGCCATAAGGACTATATCGTCGGCAAATCGAAGGTGAGTGATGTACTCGCCATTGATGTTAATACCGTATCCTTTCCAGTCCAGTAGCTTGAAAACGTCTTCCAACGCAGCGGTGAAGAGTTTCGGGGATATAACGTCACCCTGTCTTACACCTCTCTGCAGTTGGATAGGTTTCGAACTCTGGTTCTGTACTCGGATAGCCATCGTAGCCCTACTGTACAAACACTTCAGCACTTCGATATACCGACAGTCAACTTGGCACCGCTGAAGGGACTGTAGCACCGCCCAAATTTCAACGGAATCAAAGGCTTTCTCATAATCCACATACGCCAGGCAAAGTGGCAGATTGTACTCCTAGTCTTCTGTACAATCTGCCGCAGGTATGTATGTGGTCTAAGGTACTGAAGCCTTTTCGGAAACCGGCTTGTTCGGGAGGCTGGAAGTCGTCGAGTCTGCGTACGAGACGATTCGTAATGACTCTCGAAAACAGCACGTAGACGCGGCTCAGAAGGGAAATCGGTCTGTAGTTCTTCAAGAGAGCATTGTCGCCTTTCTTAAAGAACAAGACCACCGCGCTTCTGCTCCACGCCTCCGGAGTAGTGCCACCATGGAGGACGGAATTGAAGAGCTTCTGAAGGACTTCAAGTACCGGTGTTCCACCCGCTTTCAGAAGCTCTGCTGTGATTCCATCCTCGCCTGGGGCCCTGCCGTTTTAATGTGCTGGAGAGCCATTCTAATCTCGCTCAGACTGACGTCCGGGATATCATCGGAATAGTGTCGGGTAAGACTTGCTCTTGTATCGTTACTCACACTTGCGTGTGGCTCCAACGATGATGTGTACAGCTGCCCATAGAACCTCTCAATCTCACTCAAAATCTCAGGTGTCCCGGAAACGATGCTGCCACACTCAGTCTTCAGCTTTGACAGTTGGCTCTTTCTGGCAGACAGATCTCTGGCAAAGACTTTGGAGCCCTGGTTCCGCTCGATCGCTTCTTTAATACGAGCAGTATTAAAGTTGCGTAAGTCTTGCCGCATGCATTTGGAGATCTGTCTGTTCAGTTGCCTGTATGCTGTCAAATCTGTTGACGATTGCAGCCTCATCTCCCGTCTAACAGCCATGAGATTAAGAGTGTGATCGGAGAGTTTTTGTGTTCTGCGGCGGGTCTTGCAGAACTTAGCTCCGACCGCATGGACAGTTTCCACGAGCTTGTCATTCATATCGTCCACTGCATTGCAATCTTCTAGGCACTGAAAGCGGTTACGTAACTCGAGCTGAAAAGTCTCGGGATTCTGGATTAGAGCACGAGGGGGGACGGAGAGTTGACTTCATTAGACGAGACCTCTCCAACTTAACGTTTAAGTTCAGTGTGCCTCTAACCATTCGGTGACCGCTGCCGGTTTTCACCCTTGCGATCACTGAGACATCACTGAACAGTTGGCGTCTGGTCGTCATAATGAAGTCAATCTCATTTTTTGTCGAACCGTCGGGGCTCGACCAGGTCCACTTCTTGTGGGGCCGCTTCTGGAAGAAAGAGTTCATCATAAAGAGTCCCTCTTTCTCCATAAAGTCAGCCAGCTGCTGGCCCCTACAGTTCCGTTGCCCTACTCCAAATTTCCCTAACTTCAGCTCACCGCTTTCTCTTGTGCCTAGTTTTGCGTTGAAGTCTCCCATCAACACCGTGTAGTGGGTTTTTGAGGAATGCATGGCTCTAGAAATATCCTCATACATTTAATCCACCTCCTCATCGGCATGTGCCGAGGTTGGTGCGTAAACCTGTATGACCTTCAGCGAATACCGTTTGGTGATTCTGAGTATCAGGTACGCGACCCTCGTCGACACACTCCCAATCTTTACAACGTTGTTGACGAGAGACTTGTGGACGACAAATCCGACACCTCCTTGGGACAGATGGTCGCCCTCCCGGTGATAGAACAAGTTGCCGGACTCGGGGATTACCGTGTCCTCCCCCTCTCTTCGGACCTCAGATAATCCAATAATATGCCAGCGCAACTTGTCTACCTCTTCTTCCAGCTCCAGTATCTTCTCGTCAGTCCTCAGGGTGCGTGCGTTATACGTTGCCAGGTCGAGTCGTCGTAGGTGGCAACCGAACCTCCACCGGAGATTCTTAGCACCCCCTGCCCCGTCGTTACCATGGTCGCCACCGTAGCCAGGAATAGCGGGGCCGCCGGGGACTGGGGGCGGTTTATTTGTGTCGTTGCTCATGGGGGGATATTTGCCATAGTTGCCACGCTTGGCGAGCGTTTTGGCAACCGCAGTTTTTCATTATGTTATTGTTATTATTAAGAAGATGCTGCTGCCCATCTCCTTTCTGTGTACCTCTGTCGCCTCTTACGACACCCACGGGAAGATATGGGGTAGTGGATATTCTCAATCGCCACTACACACATATAAATAAATATATATATATATATATATATATATATATATATATATATATATATATATATATATATATATAGCCAAAATAACTATCATTATCAGCATTACAGCCCTACGCAAGTCTAATACTGAACATAGGCTTCCCCCAAGCAATGCCACAAAGCACGGTCCTGAGCCACCTGTATCCATCGACTTCCTGCATGTCTTATCAAGTCGTCACTGCATCTAGTGGGGGGCCGCCATACACTTCGCCTAGCTTTACCATAATCTTATGTAATATCTACTTTTACAGGGCACCGCAACAGATCTTGTGGTTCAAGTGGTACTCATAGCCGAATCAATGCGTTTACAAGCGATGTTGGGAACATATGGCATACAAACACAGACGCCGCATGAAGTTGAACCAGTTCAGGTAAAATACTAAGTCAAGTGCTTTGTATCGTCTTTATTGTCAGCCAAGAAGTTGTGCCCTGATGTGTTCCATTTTGAAGGGTAAGGGACCCCGTATAATTTTTTATAAGGCTTTAGTGATCGACAACTGTAAGGTTCTACATTTGCAGTTGTATACAGGTGACTTCAGACCCAAATTTTGGTTACTGCAGCCAGTGTTAACTGAGATTAGCCATCTCTGCAAGAACAAGACGAACTAACATATTTTATTCCATGTCCAATTGTATACTGTAACGGATGAATGATGACGTTAATACAAACATTTTTAATGAAATTCGCCACTACAAGCTAAATCAGCGTGGCGCTGATTCCTTGTTTGGGGAATCTTCCCAAATAATATGAAAGGTGATCAGGTTCTGCAGGTTATACATTAGGTTGGTAACGTAATTTAGTGTTTGTTTTGAAATATGGCGTATATTAGATGGTATATATGTATTATTAGGTAGTATAAAAATATCTAGTCAATAGATTATTTGCTGAATTATAATGACCTACAAAAGGTTTTACTACCTACTCAAAACAAAGAACCTATTACAAGGATGGCGAACCAATGGCACGCGTGCCATCGTTGGCACGCGACACAATATTTTGGTCAGGCCACCAATCACAAAGTTCACTATGAAGTATTATATTACGAACGAACGCGAGTGATCCTAGTTACATCGTGGACTACTATTGCTAATGACGCATAGTTTGCTTCATCATCATCATCATTACAGACCTACACTATAGTTCGCTTACGCATAGCATAATAGTCAATTTCGTTGACAGAATTGCATTTAAAAGTTCATTTGTGTTATATTTATGATTTTACTACCCCAATATAAGTTATTCGTCATCTGATCTGCAACAACAGAAGTCACACTTATATTGCTTTAATTTGAATTACGCGTATAACTAAAACATAAATAAATGAATAAATGTCTCCAATGTCTCAATTCAAAACTCTTTATTTATTTTTGTAGTAAGTAAGGAGTTTTGGCGTCGATAGTATTTAGTACTATTATTTTCCCAATAATCACGAAATCAAAATTATTTTACGGCACGTCTATTGCCTAACTAAACATTTCTTTAGAAAAATGGCACGGTGATACATAAAGGTTCGCCACCTATGACCTATTAAATGTTAGTTACATGTTATGCATTCCCGCCTCGCGGGGGCAAGCACGGGTTATGTGGGACTCACACCGACTTAAAACCTCAAGAATGCAAGGAGCGCCTTCATCCGTGGCCTCTAACTCCACTTGCGTAACGGACATCCCCGAGTCTAATACGCGGCGGCTATGTGGTCAGGGAAAAACGAGCACTCGGTAGCACCAGCTTTCCTGATTCCAGCGGCAGATTTAATCTATGGCGAGGCCGCTAACCAAGTGTCGGCCGCGGAGAGTAGGGGAGAGATGCCTCGTAATACCTCGTAATACCGACACTCCTTTCCCCCCGCGGCCCTACCATCATCGCACCAGCGGTGCGACGGGGGAGAGGAGTTAAGATATTGCAAGAATACCGTCACTCCTCTCCCCCCGCATCAACGGTGCGACCCTGCACCAGAGTCACGGAGGATCAGGAGAGGACATCCCTCCCGCCATAGTCCGCCAACGCACATACGAAGTGGGCTTGGCAAGTCCACTCGGTGCGGCCAACTTGGGCCAGTCCCAATTCGAGATCAAATAGGACCCACCAAGTTTATCTTAATTTTGGCTAATAAATAATTTTTACGGTTATCATTAGCTAATGATAAAGCGCTTAAACATAAAGTCAACGTATATATGAGTCCTTAACAATGTTCTGAACGTTGACCTTGGCCAGAAAAATTGGAATGAAAAATCATTTAGTACAGAATTCTCAGTTGCTTTTGGTCTCATCCTGATTCGCTGCTGTCGAAAGTCACTTTCTATAGCATTTCATTTCGTCGTATTTATCCTAATCACATTCAAGAACCAGTTGCAATTTCCACATCTATATGATGGCGATTGCTATGCTTCTAGAGCGACGGTCTCACAAATCTGTTGTAATATGTATATGGTTATACCATCTTTGATATATTACATAGGGAGGGATAATATTAGAGTATTTTAAAATTTCGGCAACAAAACGTAGCAGGCCCTACTTTACTTTAAGTATTGTATAACATAATATTTAATAACGGTTTTTAGGTGTGCAGTTCTACGCAATTAGTGCATGTATATAGAGAGTTGGGCGTGTGTCCAAAGCTAAAACTAACGGGACGTCCTATTAGACCCGTGGGGTCATTGGGAACAAGTAAGGTAAAATTATAAATTGTTATACAACTAAATCATCATCATCATCATTACAGCCCTTCACAAGTCCACTGCTGAACATAGGCCTCCCCCAAGTAATGCCACAAAGCACGGTCCTGAGCTACCTGCATCCATCGACTTCCTGCATGTCTTACCAGGTCGTCACTCCATCTAGTGGGGGGTCGCCCTACACTACGTCTACCGGTACGAGGCTGCCACTCGAGAACCTTTCTTCCCCATCGGTTATCGGTTCTTCGAGCTATATGGCCGACCCATTGCCACTTCAGCTTACTAATCCGTTGGGCTATGTCGGTCACTCTGGTTTCACTGCGGATATCCTCATTTCTGAGTCTATCACGCAGAGAAACTCCGAGCATAGCCCTCTCCATAGCTCGCTGAGCGACCTTGAGCGACCTCATACGGCCAGCGGTGAAGGACCACGTCTCAGATCCGTAAGTCATCACTGGCAACACGCACTGGTTGTACACTTTAGTTTTCAGAGATTGAGGTATACCTGATGAGAAGATGTGTCGTAATTTCCCGAACGCTGCCCAGCCGAGTTGAATCCGTCGATTGACCTCTCGGTCGAAGTTGGACTTACCTAGTCGGACTATTTGTCCCAGGTAAACGTACTCGTCAACAACTTCGAGCATAGTGCTCCCAACAATTACCGGCATAGGTGTGACATGGACATTAAACATGATCTTTGTTTTGTCCATGTTCATCTTAAGACCTATCCGTTTGGAGACACCATTGAGGTCATTGAGCATAGTGCTAAGGTCCTCCAGCGATTCTGCCATAAGGACTATATCGTCGGCAAATCGAAGGTGAGTGATGTACTCGCCATTGATGTTAATACCGTATCCTTTCCAGTCCAGTAGCTTGAAAACGTCTTCCAACGCAGCGGTGAAGAGTTTCGGGGATATAACATCACCCTGTCTTACACCTCTCTGCAGTTGGATAGGTTTCGTACTCTGGTTCTGTACTCGGATAGCCATCGTAGCCCTACTGTACAAACACTTCAGCACTTCGATATACCGACAGTCAAGTGGCAGATTGTACTCTTCGGACTTCTGTACAATTTGCCGAAGGGTATGTATGTGGTCCATGGTACTGAAGCCTTTTCGGAAACCGGCTTGTTCGGGAGGCTGGAAGTCGTCGAGTCTGCGTGCGAGACGATTCGTAATGACTCTCGAAAACAGCACGTAGACGCGGCTCAGAAGGGAAATCGGTCTGTAGTTCTTCAAGAGAGCGTTGTCGCCTTTCTTAAAGAACAAGACCACCGCGCTTCTGCTCCACGCCTCCGGAGTAATGCCACCATGGAGGACGGAATTGAAGAGCTTCTGAAGGACTTCAAGTACCGGTGTTCCACCCGCTTTCAGAAGCTCCGCTGTAATTCCATCCTCGCCCGGGGCCTTGCCGTTTTTAAGGTGGTAGAGAGCCATTCTAATCTCGCTCAGACTGACGTCCGGGATATCATCGGAATAGTGTCGGATAAGACTTGCTCTTGGATCGTTACTCACACTTGCGTGTGGCCCCAACGATGATGTGTACAGCTGCACATAGAACCTCTCAATCTCACTCAGAATCTCAGGTGTCCCGGAAACGATGTTGCCACACTCAGTCTTCAGCCTTGACAGTTGGCTCCTTCTGGCAGACAGATCTCTGGCAAAGACTTTGGAGCCCTGGTTCCGCTCGATCGCTTCTTTAATACGAGCAGTACTAAAGTTGCGTAAGTCTCGCCGCATGCATTTGGAGATCTGTCTGTTCTCCTGCCTGTATGCTGTGTTACTATGTTTTCACCCTTGTGATCATTGAGACATCACTGAACAGTTGGCGTCTGGTCGTAATAATGAAGTCAATCTTATTTTTTGTCGAACCGTCGGGGCTCGACCAAGTCCACTTCCTGTGGGGCCGCTTCTGGAAGAAAGAGTTCATCATAAAGAGTCCCTCTTTCTCCATAAAGTCGGCCAGCTGCTGGCCCCTTCGGTTCCGTTGCCCTACTCCAAATTTCCCCACCTTCAGCTCACCGCTTTCTCTTGTGCCCAGTTTTGCGTTGAAGTCTCCCATCAACACCGTGTAGTGGGTTTTGGAGGAATGTATGGCTATGGAAATATCCTCATACATTTCCTCCACCACCTGCCGAGGTTGGTGCGTAAACCTGTATGACCTTCAGCGAATACGATTTGGTGATTCTGAGTATCAGGTACGCGACCCTCGTCGACACACTCCCAATCTTTACAACGTTGTTGACGAGAGACTTGTGGACGATAAATCCGACACCTCCTTGGGACAGATAGTCGCCCTCCCGGTGGTAGAACAAGTTGCCGAACTCGAGGATTGCCGTATCCTCTCCCTCTCTTCGGACCTCGGATAATCCAATAATATGCCAGCGCAACTTGTCTACCTCTTCTTCCAGCTCCAGTATCTTCTCGTCAGTCCTCAGGGTGCGTGCGTTATATGTTGCCAGGTCGAGTCGTCGTAGGTGGCAACGGAACCTCCACCGGAGATTCTTAGCACCCCCTGCCCCGCCGTTACCATGGTCGCGACCGTATCCAGGAATAGCGGGGCCGCCGGGGACTGGGGGCCGTTTTTTTGCGTCATTATTCATGGAGGGATATTTGTCATAGTTGCCACGCTTGGCGAGCGGGTTGGCAACCGCAGTTTTTTATTATAACGCAGTTGTTATCAGGAAGTTGCTGCTGCCCATCTCCTGTCCGTCTCCCTCTGTCGCCTCTTACGACACCCACGGGAAGATATGGGGTAGTGGATTTCTCGCTTCAACTACCATATGTCAGAGGAGTCACGGACAAGATTGGCTACATCTTGAAGCGAGCGGCCATTAAGACATACTACAAGCCGCTGAAGAAGATTAGTCAATTTTTACCATCCATCAAATGTAATATTCCTCTACAAGATGCAGGTGTGTACAAGCTAGATTGTGAATGTGGTCTCTCTTACATAGGTGATACAAAGAGATCTATAAAAACCCGCGTGAAGGAACATATAGCTGATGTGAAGCACCGACGCTCCGGGAAGTCTGCAGTCTGCGAACATGTTCAAGATCGTCGCCACCATTACATTAGATTTGATAAACCACAAATTCTCGCAAAAGAACACCGATTCCTACCAAGGATGATACGCGAAGCTATTGAAATTAAAAAACATCCAAATTTCAATAGAGAAGATGGTTGGGTGCTACCATCTGCTTGGGATCCTATAATTAACAAAATTAAACCCAAACCCAAGCATACCACTGCAAGACTTCATGATACTATAAGCTCGTTTTGCGTAAATCGGACCAAAAATTAATATTAAAAAAACTGAAGGTAGCCGGACTAACTATGACATTGGGACCTCAAACATCTCAGTCCCCCCCCCCGTGACCATGGGTGCTGTAAAGCACCCGAAACGTCGGGATAATAGTAATAATATAAATCTAAAGTAAAATTAAACGCGATATCAAATCCGTAAATAATAGTTTTATTAATGTGTAGTGTTCGACAGTAAATTTAGAATCATTAGGCATACTACATTTTATAACAAAATTTAAATATGTCATAGTAGTATTAATGCTGAGGCTAAAATTCTAACGCGCGTACCTAAGAACTTTTTATCAGTTTTAATTTCACATTTAAATAATACTTTCTTTCCTTTTCAGATTTACAGAGTTTGTGGAATGACGGTGCTATGCTACCCTCTTATTTTTGAAGTTTCAGAATTTTATCTTTATAGAGACATGGCTTTATTGATTGATGACATAAAGACTGAGCTACAGTTCGTTGGAAAGTAAGTTTGTGTTTTAAAAATTAGTTTAATAGAAACTTGAGCTGTACACAAATACAATTACTGTCTTTTACAATGTTCTTCAATAACTACAGAAACGTTATGCGCAACCACATTAGAGGGTGACAAGACATCTTTAGCCTTCTTTGTTCGAAGTTTACTGCAGGTGTCTATGGAGTGCAGTAGCCACTTACCATACCGTGGACCGTATGTTCGTTTTTAAATTCAGTTATATAAAAAAATCATCACCCCAGGAAAATTCAGAAAAACATTTGACTGCATCTTGGATTAAATCAATCATTGCAGGGAACTATTTTTCGTATATTGCTGTTATAATTTTTCCAGTCGCTTGGAATGCTAAATCGACGATCGCTTCATCTTGATCACTTGCTGCCAAATGTAACACCGAGAAAATATTCTTCCAATCAGATTTAAGAGCGTTGTGAAGCTGTAAATTTTCATACAAAAAGCGATAACGTTTTGCCACCAGTAAACATAGTCTAATTTTCATAATTTTTGGAAATGTAGATATAACAAAAAACTAGGTCCGTACGTTTTAATTTTAAAGAAATATTACGTACGATGTAAGTTATTAGCATCTAAATATCTATATTTTTGACTTAAAAACTTCCTCGCGCGTTTTTATTTTTCTTAATTAAAGTAAACTGATTTACTATAAAAGAAAAACCTACAGACCTAGACTAAGATGTACTGAATCTAATGGTACCAAAATTATCTCATTTCGTAAAGGTTTAGGGGAGTAAAAATGTTATCGGCGAAACAATATTTCAATAAAGAAATGTAGGCAATTGCTTCCGATACTTGCAACTCTCTATCGCACGATACGGGTCGGGTGGCAGGGCCATACGCATACTGCTGTAGTTGTGGTTTGTTGTTATTAGATGTTGGAGATTTTATCGATATACATATATGTATAGATTAGACGGCTACGTGGCGCAGTAGCTCAGCAATGAGTTATAGCGCTGAGGGCCGCGGGTTCGAATCCCGCACGGCACAAGTATTTGTATGACCTACAAGTAATTATTCCGGGTCTGGATGTTTGTCCTTGTGCAATTTATGTATGTAAAAACTGCCTCCATGATACTGGAGAAAGTCCTAGTGTGGGGGTAACGTAAAAAAATTATAATTAAAAATGATATTATCATAGCCTAGGGAGAAGAAAGTAATACCGAAAACCTACACAAATAATACTTCTTATGAAAAAATAATATCTGTGAATAACTTCAATAGGTATAGTCTTTATTATATCTTTATTATAGAGTCTTTATTGAACAAGGACTGTAACTTAAAAAGATTTCGAGATTACGCCTAATTAGGTAAGTGAATAAATAAAAAAGTAACAACTTGTGAAAATTATTTTTTTATTACTATTACACTCTTTCTCGAGCTGCCATATTTCTAGGTACTCAAGAGTCAATCAGTTTTGGTAATAAACACTGAAAATAAAATGAGTTACGTTTTGGCTGCATTTTTTCTGTCCTAAAGTGATCATCGTACTTAATTTTTTCATACGCCAAAACATGTAGCGTCCATACTACGAAAAAACAAAATTGCCTACCTACTACCTACCTACCTAGTGATGTGGAATTTTCCCTGGATCTGTTAATAGTAATCATGATTTCTTTTTAAAATCATCTGTCCTTCTCGTATCAAACAAAATTTGATCTTTTTTCAGTTATGGCCTCCACAGGTGGCATATTAGAAGCAGAAATAGGACATTTGACTTGAATTAGAGAGTCATCTCCGATAAGTCCATCGGGACTTGCCCCTAAATAATAATCATCTTAATAAACAGTCCACACACCGAAACTTTTAGATTGGTAGTTGTGGAAAATTCTCGTATGGCCTCCGATTCGTGTTGGTTTCCATATTCGGTTGCCGTATTTCCTTTGAAATAAGTTTTCCAAATTTATATGTAGTTAGCCTTTTTCTCCGTTCAGTGTGCCACAAATCATTGTCTCTTTGACCTCTAGTAGCCAATTCTAATTCTTTTATTTCGTCCTGTTTTTTTTTGCAAAGAAGCCAAAACTCTTCTTTCTTTTCTTAAAAACATGATTGGCACTGATTTTTATGTCATTTGTGATGTTTTTAATTTTTCCTCGTCAATTATGTCTTCGTTCTTCCAATGTTTCACGGCGCCAACTACTGCTTTTTTTTATGGAATAGGATGACAAACGAGCACACAGCCCACCTGATGGTAAGTGGTTGCTGTGACCCATAGACATCTACATCTATCCTCGATTACTAATCAAAATGCAGATGCGTTGTCATCCGTGAGGACTTAGGTGGAATGCCTCATTTTCTGTAAAAAGGGATTTCGGTTCTCTACACTCATCATACGAAACACAGCAGCATTAAGCTACTATTTGACGCTGGTATTCTGTGAGAGCGTGGTCCTTCCCTGGTCGAGCCGACCCATTCGTGCTACAACTCTACTACTAATATAACTGCAGCATGGCTCTACCACGTAAAAGCGACGCAAAACGTTGCTCACAACTCTTTTTCTTGTAGGTACCGGTAAGTAACCTTATTGGTTGTTAGTTTTCTTTCCCAACTGCTTAAATTTGGAATAAAAATTTCTGAAAAGGTGATTTTTGCATTCTACTTTTTTAACCATGAGTTTAGAACCGTATGGCATAGTAATCCATAGTCCATTTATGATACTAGAGTCGCCATCGCGAATCAGCATGTGACATCGCCATGTTTTTCAACGCTTTTTTGGAAACCCTCCACTATTATGCCTTCTTCCATCGATGTAGCGCTGTTAGACCTCCAATATTCATTCGACGAATATTAGGAGTACATCGTCCCTGCATATTACTGTCCGGTAATTTCTTGTCAAGCTCAGAGTCACTGAAAAGTGAATAGAATGATAATAGTTAAAAATATGTTTTATGGCTAACTAACGCGGGCAAAAGTCGCGGGCAAAAGCTAGTTTACATTTAATTCGGTTCATTGTTAAAATTTAGATTAGTAAATTAGTAATTAGAATTAGTAATAGGAACAACATTTACTAACGGACTAATATTATTACTAGACAAGTGGTAAAATTGAAAATTTTGTACAACCGACTTCAATAAAACTCAATTACAACGTATTATGTCATGGTTAAAATGATTTCTATGACATTTATATGGAGCCAAATGTGAGACATACATTATCGAAGAAAAAATGAATAGGTATTCAAAATCGGTCCACAATTGATGGAGAAATCGGTGAACATACATAAAAAATAAAATAAAAGAAAAAGCATACAGCCGAACATAGAACCTCGTCCTTTTATGAAGTCCTAAAACCAACATCAGCTATTCCGTAATTTTATATTTTGGCGAAATAAATTTCGGTCTATCACCTACTGAGCAAAGTATGATCACAGAATAAATAATATTACGTATGATACCTATGTGCAATAGTATGTTATGTGGTATACCTGTTGATTTTAGAAGTTGGCGTTACCCATCCTTTCGATTTACGAAGAAAATTGAATTTTTTTTCGTTTTGTTGATAAACACGGTCGACTTTTTTCCTCGTTTGTAATCTTTATCTTCCATTCTAAAAGGTATTGTGGCCGTGAAGGAAAAGGGGAGATCTCCCGCCGGGCAAAAAGGTGTTCTGCCCGCGGAGCGGCTCACACTCCGTGTGATAGTTCGGAGAAGTTCTATATATACTGTTTATGATTCGGAATGTTGATGTTAATTGCGCGATTTAGGCTTTGGTGTGTTTTCGCTTGTGGCGCGACGACAGCGCCGCTACATCACCCCCTGCTCAGACCGGAGGTCGATAGTGCAGCCTCGTTGCCGACAAATTTGCAGTGGATTGCCTTGTAGTCTGCGATGAGTCGAGAAAAAGGCAAGTAATCTGCGAGAGTGCCGTGAAGCAGAGGCGAGCAGTAAGGCTCAGAGCCGTGCCGAACACTGTATGGCGCAGAGCGTAGCTTGAAGGAACAGGAAGCATTATTATTCCAGTGCTGCGATGAATCTTGTGAAGCTAGATGGCTTGCAGGATATGAAGACTGCAGACGATATCTGCTCGGGAGCGAATGGGTGGGGTATTCTATGACGATGATGAAGCTTGAAGTTTCCGAAGGTTGTCGGTTGCGTGTTCAGATCACGCCGGGTAGTCACCACTGTGGCCGTGAAGGAAAAGAGGAGATCTCTCGCCGTGCAAGGTGTTCTGCCCGGGAAGCGGCCAATGCTCCGTGTGATAATTCGGAGAAGTTCTATATATACTGTTTATAATTCGGAATGTTGATAGCGCGATATGGGCTTCGGTGTGTTTTCGCTTGTGGCGCGACGAAAGAACGGACGAAATTAATTTTATTTGAATGAATATAATACTCATTGTAAAAGCTGGCATTTGACTTTGGCAGATATAGATAGGTAGATACTTACATATAAAAATAACAGCTCACTTCTATAAGGTATATGTAGTTATTACCTACGAAATGTCTACACACACTATGCAATAAGTATAATAAAATTGCAAAGAAACACAAACAAATTGAATAATTATGTCACTTGTCGTCAAAGACATTTAAGTATGTAGTATCTGGATGACCGAGCTTTGCTCGGTATTTTTTTTTGGAAATCGTGTTTTTTGAAAATTATATTTAGATACAAATTACATACTGGTGTAATATGAATAATATTTTTCGATCTTACCAACATAATAAAAAAAACTGAACTGGTTATTTAAATAAAAATCATGAGTTCAATTAGTTTTAATTTAATTTTTCGTGTTTTTAAAAAAATCTAAAAACGGGCTCGAAATAATAGAAGGAAAGTTGAAAAAAAAGTATATCCTATACTTACGCACTTTGAGAAAGTAGTTTGTTCAGAATCGTTTACTGGATCGATTCCTATCATTTTTAATACAGGTAATTTTTTATCCCAAAAATAATTAAAACTACGTAAATTACCGTCACACTAAATCTGTACAGTCAAAACAAACTGAAATGGACCGTAACTTAAGGCACTAAGACT